CACAGCGCCCCCAGAGGACAGAGTGGAACTTCCCCACAGGGTCTCCAAGGCTGCGATCTTTAGGGAAGCTGACTGTCTCATCTGTCGCCCATGGAGCCACTGGTAGGCTTGAACCACCAACCTCTTGGTGAGCAGCCAAGCACTTACCCACAGCTCCACCTCAGCCTCAGCAAGGCAGAATGGGGGTCTTCATCCCTCGCACCTCCACCCCAAGTGCTCCAGAGGCCACCCCAGACCTTCACCCTGCAGCCAAAACCACTAAGTCAGCCTGGACTCCTCTGCCACACTTTTGTCCAGTGTGTGGGCAAGACCCTCATCCCATCCCTTCCTGCCCTCCTGGCTGTTCCCTGTCGCAGACTCCTGCCCCTGGCATCCTCCGCTGCTCACTGACTGCCCTCTGGCCCGCCTGCTGTCTTAGGCCAACAGGACAGCCAATCAGACGTCATCTCCCACAGGGCAGCCAATCCGATGTCACCTCCTGAGATGAAAGGACTAACCGTGATACACGCACAATGGAATACTACACAGCCCTAAAGAGAAAGGCATCCTGCCATCTGCCGCCACGTAGATGAGCTCGGAAAACGTCACTCTGAGCAAAATCAGTTGCAAAAGGACATATGCTGTATGCTCTCACTTATGTGAAATAAATATACAGAAGCCAACGATTATTAGCGGTTCCCTCGGGTGGGAGGGAGGAGAGAGAGCAGTTTGCTTAGGGGGCATTGAGTTTATGTTAATGGTGGTGGAATGACTTGGACAGTGATGGTGGTAAACCCTGTCACTTTATTGTACATATAAGGAGCTCTGGTGGCGCAGTGGTTAAAGCATTTGGCTGCTAACCAAAAGGTTGGCCACTGGAACCCCACCCGGTCTGGGGGGGAAAGATAATGGTTAGGGCTAGGGTTAGAGCTTCCGTGAAGACTGACCGGCTTAGAAACCCTATTGGCAGCTCTGCTGTCCTCTAGGGGCGCTGTGAGCCGGAATCCACTCGATAGCAGTGGGTTTGGGATACTGTACGTGTAAAAACTGTTGGGATGGCCTATTTTATTATGTATATTTTCACCACACACACACACACACACACACAGACAAAAAGATGGCCATGAACTAGAATAAAATTTGCATTTCTGAAAAAAAGTAACTTCCTTACAGGTGCGCCCAGCACGCTGCTCTCTCCACCGCACCTGCGCCGTGTCGGCCAGCGCACCATCCTGAACGTAAAGGGCACCGTCTGCGGATGGCTGCCGTCTGCCCAGTATCTGGAGCAGCGCCCGCACACAGTGTACTCTCAACGCACGTTTGTTGAGTTCGTGAATGAATGAATGGGTGGGGTTTCTCCTCCCCAAGGTGAGCAGGCAAGTGGACACGCTTCTGCACGCCTCCTGGGCTAGGGTTCAGACGAGATCGTCCACGTTTCACTAAGAGAATTACATACCGGGTAGGGGACCGGCAGCAGCTGACCCTGAAGCAGCCCAGCACCGCTCCACCGCTCATCCCGTGGCCCCGCCCCTCCCGGCGCGCGCCCCGCCCTCTTCCTTTCGCCAATACCCGCGCTTATTTTAGCCCCGCCCCCGTGACGGCCCCGTGGGCCCTCGCTATTGGTCCCGCCTTAGAACACCGCGAAACTTCTGGCTCATCATTGGCCACGCGTTCTCCCGCGCCGGCGCCACAACAATCGCCACGTGCTCAACCGTGGAGCCGGCTCATTGGTCAACAGTCTCCAGATGGCCCCGCCCCTCTCCCCGCCTCCTACCCCATTGGCTACGAGGCCCAGGACCCCGCCTCCTAACCTGCGCATCCGACATGGATTGGCTGAAGGCCGGAGCTAGACGGGGCTCGGAGGCGGGTTAAAGAGTAGGCTACAGGTGCCATCACGCGTGCCTGAGAAAGCTCCATGGCGTGGCAGGGACTGGCAGCCGAATTCCTGCAGGTGCCGGCGGTGACGCGAGCCTACACCTCGGCTTGCGTGCTCACCACCGCCGCCGTGGTAAGCCACCTGGGGGTGAGGGGAGTGGGATGAGCGTCGCCAGGGTTACAGCCCAGGCGGGCGGGGCGAGTGGTGAAGACCCCGGCGGGCTCGGGTAGCGGCCGCCCGTGACGCGTCCTGTTTCTGCAGCAGCTGGATCTTCTCAGCCCCTTCCAGCTCTACTTCAACCCGCACCTCGTTTTCCGGAAGTTCCAGGTGAGGCTCCCCCGCCCGCGCGGCCGCGCCGCCCTCCCTCGCCCCACGCGCGCGGCCGCCCCTGACCGCCCGCCCCCTGCAGGTCTGGCGGCTCATCACCAGCTTCCTGTTCTTCGGGCCCCTGGGATTCAGCTTCTTCTTCAACATGCTCTTCGTGTATCCTGGGCGCGGGCCGGGTGGGCGGGGCGCGCAGGCGGGGGAACTGAGGCCCGCGCACTGCGCTTCCTATACCGAGGCTCAGCTTCCGCTACTGCCGTCTGTTGGAGGAGGGCTCGTTCCGCGGCCGCACGGCCGACTTCGTCTTCATGTTCCTCTTCGGCGGCGTCCTCATGACCGTATCCTTCCGCGTTCCCGGGCCCGCAGCCCCAGCCCGGGCCCGGCGAGGCAGTCTTTGCCCAGCCTGGCGTGCACTGAGCGGCCGACATGTGCCGGCTGAGCTCCGGGCGCCGGGGTGGATGCCCACGCCCCGCTGGGTGCACAGCTGCAGGGGGCGATGCGTCCTGCAAGCCGGCGGGCCCGAAGGGGCGCGGGCCGAGCCGGGCAGGACGCCTGGCCTGGGACCTGCGGGCCACGGGGTGTCGCCTTGGTGGGGGAGTGGCACTCGGGGCCAGTGAGGGGAGGGTGCACGAAGTCAGCCTGGGTGGCCAATGAGGGTGAGCGTCATGCCGGGACCAGCCCTCACCCCCGCCCCCCTCCTGGAAGACTGGAGGGGCCTCCCCGGGGCCCTGGACCCTTGACTCGGGCCCAGCTGCTGGGGCTCCTGGGGAGCCTGTTCTTCCCGGGCCAGGCCCTCATGGCCATGCTGGTTTACGTGTGGAGCCGCCGCAGCCCGCGTGTCAACGTCAACTTTTTTGGGCCCCTCACCTTCCAGGCGCCCTTCCTGCCCTGGGCACTTCTGGGCTTCTCCCTGCTGCTGGGCAACTCCATCCTCGTGGACCTGCTGGGTGAGCCATCGGGGTCCCCAGGGCCGGCCCCGACCTCGCCCGGCCCCACGGTGCCCCTGCCGCCATGCCGGCCGCCCGGTCCCACCCTCGGTCCTCGTGGACCTAATGGGACATGGGTCAGACATCTGTCCCCGCCAAGGGCTGGTCCCTCTCACCCTCAGTGGGCCAGTCCCTGACCCTCCGGGTGACTGGTGCCTGCGTGGGGGTGGGGGGTAGTGGACCAGGGCTCTCCCTCCCTGGCCCCAGCCCCTGTCACAGCCCTCCAACCGCCTGTGCCAGCTGAGCCCACGTCCTTGTGCCTGCCTCGAAGGTGGGCTTCCAGGTGAGGCTGCCTGCCTGGGGCAGGGTGACCTCAGCAGGCCCCGCCTCTCCCCCAGGGATCACGGTGGGCCACATCTACTATTTCCTGGAGGATGTGTTTCCCAACCAGCCGGGGGGCAAGAGGCTGCTGCTGACTCCCCACTTCCTGTGAGTGCTGGCAACACCCCCTTCCCTCCGCCAGACCCCCCCACTTCAGGGACGCTGGCAAAGCTCAGCTCAGCACGGACCCCCACAGGAAGCTGCTACTGGATGCCCGGGAGGAGGACCCCAACTACCTGCCCCTGCCCGAGGAGCAGCCAGGACCCCGCCTGCCACCCCCGCAGCAGTGAGCCCGAGCTGGCCTGGGGCGGCCCTGGAGGACGGCCCCCCACCTGCACACCCAGCTCGGACTGATCCTGGGACCAAACTGAATAAACGGTGACCTGCAGCCTCTCAGCCACGCGCTGGCTCCCTCAGCCCTGTCCTGTGCAGGGCACGTCCCACCCCGAGCTCTGCTCCGGCCCTGCCTGCTGCTCTGAGCCCAGCCCCAGGTGGTGGGGTGGGAATCACTGCTCAGGGCCGTCGGCCCAGCCCGCGACGCCTCGACGGGGCCTGGGCTCCCTCCTGGCCACGGGCCTGCCAGACTGCAGCAGCCGGGGCCCAGCTGGTGCCATGGCGGCAAGGTGGCTAAGGGCCTCACGGATCCTTTGCCCTCGTGGCCACGGAGCTCTGTGATGGGCGAGACCAACTGTGGGCAGACTTGGCCATGGCTGCCGCTTTGAGCTGAGGACCCCGTGTGGGCCCTGGCTGCCCTCCGCAGCGCGGGTCTCTCCTGCAGGGGGCCCCCAGTGGCTGCCTGATGGCTCCTCCCGGGTGGGAAGCAGCGCCGGAGTGGTCTCAGCCCTGCGCTGGCTTTAGAGCGTGCACGCGCCCAGCCTCACCAGTCAGCTCTGCCAGGCGCGGAGACCCACGTGGGCGAGCCGTCCTCATGTGCCTGCTCCTGTCCTGCTTCCAGCCAGGCTTTGGGGGTCACCAGAAGGAGAGTGGGGCGAGGGTACCCCCACAGGTCAGCATTGCTGGGCACAACCAGCCCGGGGTGGGGCAGGCAGTAGTGGCCGGCCCGTGCCAGGTGGGGCAGGGGGCCCTATCAAACCCTCAGGTGTACTGTGGGGGGTTGGCAGGTCGCCCTGCTGGGGGGAACCCCCCACGTGCCCTCCTGAAGGGCTCCAGCCTTGCAGACTAAGCATCAGGGTGCAGCACTCAGGGCCAGTGGGTGAGCCGTAGCTATGTCAGCACTCAGGGCCAGTGGGCGAGCCGTAGCTATGTCCCACGACTGAACGGAGCTGCTGGGGGGCACTGCCTGCCCGGCACCCCCCACCGGCCTCCTCCCTCTGCGGCGGCGGGTGGACGGGAAGCTGGAAGCCTGAGAACGGGGACACGTGCTGGGCCTGGCCTGCAGGGCTGAGAGGTGGGGCCTGGAGCCGTGACCTGAGGACCCGAGGCCACAGAGGGCAAGCCGCTTGAGCCAGGCCCGACAGCTGGCACCCCTTCTCACTATGCTGTCACCACTTGAAGAAAGGAAATATGATCGGTTGCTTTTTATTGAAAAAGTGTTGCCAGCCCTGCCTGGGCTGCTATAGAAAACGAAACATAACCCAGAACGAGGTCTCATCCTGACCCGAGACCCGAGGGGGTGGGGAGGGGACTCAGCAGGGGCCCTCTCGTGCTGCCCGGCTGCCCCGGGCTCTCCTCCGCGAAGGTGCTGGAAAGAGGCGGCGCCACCTGCCCAGCTGCTCCCGTGGGCACCGCGCCGAGGCGCTTACCAGGCCGGGGCCGTGTTGGCGAGACGCCGCATCCGCCTGGAGGAGAGGGTAGTGAGGGGGACAGCTCCCGGCCGGCTGGGTGCCCACCCACCCAAGACTCCAGGGCAGCTGGGCATAAGCAGCGCGGACAGGGCCGGAGCCCGTCAGCAGGTCCCCCGGACGCATCTACCGTCCGGCCTGGAAGCAGCTTCCTCCTCTCTCTCTCCCTCAGCTCTGCCAGCTGTCCAGGACTGAGAGCCGGCTCTGGGCTGGTCGGGCCAACCTCAGACTTGTCACCCAGGGGCCTAGCTCTGGCGCTCAGATCTCCTCCTCCTAGGGGAGGGGCACCTGCAAGGCTGGGGCACCTGGTGTTCCTGTCCCGAGCGGGGAGCTGGCCCCGCGCCCCGCCCCCCCGCCCCCCCGCTGCAGGGCACCTGGTGTTCCTGTCCTGGTCCCTTATCTTCTTCTCCATCTCGGCGTCTGTCAGCGTCTCCAGCAGTGGGCACCACTGGTCGGCATCGCCTGTGTTCCGGATGGCGATCTCCACCGTGGGCAGGGGGTTCTCACTGCGGGGAGAGGAGGAGAGGGCAGGGGCCGCTCCGCAGGGCCCTCTGTGCCCCCGCCTGCAGACGGAGAGCTGCCCGTGGCCTCTGTGGCCGGACTCCAGAGCAGCCCTCTCTGCACAGTGGCCTGCGGACACCCCAGCTCCAAGGCCACCATCCCGGGACCTCACGGGCCCCTGCAAATCACACTCCCGACTGGCCCCGCGTCGGCCCTAGCACTGTGCAGAGGGACCACCACCGACGGCAGCTTGGCTGGGCCGGGCTGGTGCTCACGGCACCACAGCTGGGAGGTGGCGCCCGACGGGGCAGGCGAGCAGGGCTGGCTGGTCCACTATGAGCCCAAGACGAGGTGCTGTCGGGGCTCACAAGCCAGGGGACTAGGAAGGGTGGTGGCGGCAGGAGGAGTCTGAGCCCCGCACCCCCAACGTTCTGCACTGCAGCCCCTCGGCCTGCTTCACGGGGCCCGGCCAACTCCTAGAAAGGACCCTGCCGGGTCAGAGCGCCGAACACCACAGAGCTGCGCTGGCCACGGTCCCTGACCGCACTGTGCCTGCGGGTGCCTCAGAGACCCAGCGGTCCCTGTGCCGAGAGCCGCCTGAGCACACCCCTGCTGTGGACAGAGCTCCCAGGCCGTGTGCACACCCTGGGGGGGGGGGGCAGGAGCACTGGGGCGCACGCCTGGGTGTCAGAGGGGCCCGGGGACCCCCCGTCAGCTCCAGCCTGGGGGCCAGAGCAGTTCTGGGGCTCAGAGCCCCCGCCCTGGCAGGCGGGCCTCAGGCCGGCCCCGACCCAGATCCTCTGTGGTTTGCCACACGACCGCCTGCCAGGCTCCTCCTGTGTCCTGAGGCCCAGGCCTGCCCTCGGCCTCGTCTGCCGGTCCCACAGGCAGGGGCACTGGAGGGAAGGAGGGCTGCCAGCCCCTGGTCGGGCTGCCTGGGGGCTCCACCTGCCCCATCTGTGAATTATCAGGACTTCTGAGGGCTACCGCGAGGAGCCACGTTCCACCCACTGAGACCCTTCCCACAGCCCCAAAGCCGGTCCCCGGCTGCGCCTGCTACACCGTCGGGCTGGGCTGACCTCCTGGCCAAGCCTCCAGCACGTGGCTGAGGCCGGCAGTGGGCTGGCGCCCCTCAGGGCACCCAGTGTGTGAGGCTCCGGCCCACCTCCTTCCGAAGCCCAGGCCGTCGGGTCCCACGAGGCCCCAGGCACCACTCGCCCACCCCCCTGGACACCGGGCCAGGCCCTGCCCCCGCCTCTCCAGCCAGCACCCACCCCCCTGGACACCGGGCCAGGCCCTGCCCCCGCCTCTCCAGCCAGCACCCACCCCCCTGGACACCGGGCCTGACCCTGCCCCCACATCTGCACAGCCCCAGGCCCCAAACGCCATCGTCACCCAGGCGCCGGCTGCCTTCCAGGCGGCAGAGATGAAAGGAGCCGTCCTGTGTAAACCAGTGCCTGGCCCCCCTCACCCCCTCAACTCGGGGGACCCCCGTGGGCTGGCTCTGCAGTAGGAGCCACCGCACCCAACCAGAGGCCCTGGCAGCTGGGAGCCACCTGGTGTCCCCTCCTCACGGCAGTGTCCAAACCACGCAGGGACTGTGGCCTGTGGGCAACCACGAGGTGCACGTTCCATGGGATCTCACTTCCACGAAGATGGACAGCCTTGGAGACCCTGTAGGACAGTTCCACCCTCCTCTAGGGGCTCTGTGGTCAGAATCGACTCCATGGCGCCAAGCAATCCAGAATATGTAAAGAACTCTACAACGCGACGCAAAGACACAAGCCAACTAACGGGCCAAGAACTTGAACAGATGTTTCTCTGGAGAAAACAGAACTGGCCACTAAGCACATGAAAAAGTTCCCATGATGTCACTGTTGTTGTTGTTATGTGCTGTCGAGTCGGACCTGACTCATAGTGACCCCCCTTGGGTTTCCAAGGCACTGTCACTGTGGAAGTAAGACTGCCCAACCTTCCTTCCGAGGAGTGGCTGGTTGAGTTTGAACCGCCAGCCTTCTGGTTAGCAGTCAAGTGCCTTAGGCACTGTTACCAGAGCTCCCATTAGTCACTAAGGGAAATGCAACAACAACAAAAACAAGAAATATGTCACATCACACACACGAGCGTGGCTATAATCCAAAAGCAGACGATACCAAGTGCTGCCAAGGTACGGAAAAACTGGATGAGGCATTTGGCTGCGGACCAGAGGGCCAGGGGCTCAAACCCACAGGAGGAAGGCTGGGCAATCTACTTCCCTAAAGATTTAAAAAGCCTCGGAAACCCAACGGGGTCACTATCAGAATCGACTCCGAGGCAGTGGGTTGGGTTTTGGTTTACACACTGCTGGGGGGCACGGGAGCTGGTTCATGCCTCGGGCCACACCACGTCACCCTGCCCCCGCTGCTGCCAGGTGCCCTGGGGTCAGCTGACTCGGCGACCTGTCCCATCCTGGAGGAGAGGCCGCCCACCGCCTGGTGCTGCACCAGCCTCGGAAGCCTTGCGCTGTTTGAGCCCGCTGCAGCCGCCAGGTCTGTCCGCCTCACTGAGAGCCCTCCCCTTTGCCCGACACTCCGCTTCACCAAGCGCGACATCCTCCTCCAGGACGGCTCCCCCCTGACTCACTGTGTGACGCGGCAATCCCAGTCCGTGGGAGACGCAAACGTGCGCTCACAGACACGTGCACACTCATGTTCCCGGCAGCACCAGTCACTATTCACGCCTGAGTCAAAGAGCGGGGGCACCCCAAACATCCATCAGCAGAAATGGAGAACGGAGCACGCTCCCGCCCTGCGGTGGACGTGCCCAGCCAGGAACAGAACAAAGTCCAGACGCATCCTGCGACGCGGGAAGCTGCAAGCGCACCGAGAGGACCGCAGACAGGAGGCTGCCCCGGCACGGGTCCTGCCCACGAACTGTGCACAGCAGGCAAACCCGTGGAGACCGGAAGTGCCGAGGGCGTCGGGGAGGGATGGAGTGACTGCTCACACCCACAGCAATGACCAGCTGCACACGGCGCCATCACTGGGGCGGGGCGGGGCGGCGGGGCCCCCAGCGCCCTGGAGCTGGGACTCATCCCCTGGGCACTAAGATGAGGGAGGCGTCCACCTGCAAACCCCGAGCTGAGGGCTCCCAGGGCAGCAGCGGGGGTGTGTCGGGAATGAACAAGGACCAGGCGGCTGGCTGGGTGCCCTGGAGTCAGAGCACGGTGCTGCCAGGCTGGTGGCAGAGGGAAGGATGCCAGGAGAACCTGCAAGTGGCCCAGGGGCCCCGATTCCAGAGGCCCGACCGTGGCGCTGGCAGCCACCCTGCAGTCAGGCAGAGTGTGGACACCCTGCGTCCAGCTGCTGGGAGCGAGACACACCCTCTGTGTCCGTGAGCCCGGAAAAGCAGCGTGTGGGCTCTGATTCGTGGCGGGCTGGGGAGAGGTGACCAGGCTAAGGGTCACCCCCAGGATCCGTGCAATGGCACGGCCTCGAAGGGCTGATGTCACCCTCATGGGCTCTCAGGCCACTGAACTGGGTGCTGGTCCAGAATGAACGGCGGCACCTGGCTCGCCGGCTGAGGGTTCAGCAGATACCCACTCCCCAGCCCGACCCCTCAGTCGGACGCCCACCCTGGCCCTGATCCACCAGCCCTAGTTCCCAGTCATCAGGTGGGCTGCCACGAGAGCGGCCGGACGCCCAGCCTGGCCCGGACCCACCACCCTAGCTGCCTGTGGGACGTCTGGACGAGATGAGTCACACCCCCGTGACTGAGCGTGCCAACCGCCAGGTCTGCCGAGGGCCCCGGTCTGGCCCCTGTGCCATCACACTGAGCTGCAGGCCCTGCCCAGGAGGATGACCACATCGGGGTGCTGACCGTGATGAGCCGCATGCGCCCTAACATCCCGTTTCACACAGCAATGCTCAGCAGCCCCTCACAAAGGGCCGAGCGCTCGGAGGTCAGGGCTGGACGTGCTAGCAGCACCCCTTAGCAGGCGCCCCGCCACAGGCAAACAAGGTGGGGAGCATCACCAGGGGCCACACTTGTGAGCTCAGCCTCCACCTGAGCGGCTCCCAGGCCCGGCCCTTCCTCAGCACCAAGGCCACGGCCTGAGGCCCTGTTCCCACTCCCCCCTCCTCAGTAGGGCTATGGGCAGGTCCCTGGGGGCCTGTCACTTCCCCATGCGGTGCTCCCCACACGTTCTCTGACCCCACAAATGAAGGGCAAGGTGAGAGACAGGTGAGGAAGACGCAGTGGCTTGGGAGGCCATGCCCCAGACAGAAGACGGGGCCCAGAAGCCAGACGGGGAAAAAAACCAGACAGGGCAGCAGGTGGAGGAAGCTAGAGGCCAGTGCAGGGCCGCTGCGGGCACAGACCACGAGCTGGGGTGCGGTGGGGCTGGAGGGGACAGAGGGCCTCGGGGTACACAGCAGGGATGG